TGAGCTGGTTCATTCGCTCCTGGGAGTTCTCCTTACCACTCTCTAAGTGAGAGGTCATCACACACAGCTCACGGCCATAGAAGTTCACCTTCAAGTAGGGGAAACAATAAAGGCGATGATTATAGTTAATTTAGGCAGCTCAGAACCGAGATTATCACGGCCTTTAAGTTGCATGAGCAGTTTCCTTCACCTTCCTTATTATGTTTAACATTTTAAACTGACCACTGACTGTACTTTAATATTATTAGCTGAGTTTACAGGACAGAATACAATGAGAACCAGTTGCCAACTATACTGTATGCATTACTGAGCTGTATCCAGTCACACCAGGAGCCTTAAGTAAGAGCGGAGAAAGCTTACATAAGCCATGAGTAGGTTCCTGTTCATCTCCGTTGTGGGGTAATTAACGACGTCGCTGCGTAGAAGTCGTACTCGATACTTTTTCAACATGATGCAAGTGGAGGAAGCATCATCACTTCCTGAATTTGACAAATACTCATTATTAATCAAGCATGTAACTGAGCCTCATATGATTGATCTTCAGGGTTAGAATAGCTTTTTTTTAGTATACCTTATTCTTTAATACCCTACATTTATTTTAAAAATTGGGAACAAAATTAAATCTAATAATGTTAGTCACGCATATTTTCTAAATGCATTGCTTTCCAAAGTGTCTCGATGATATGTTTATATTAGCAGCTAAAAGAAACAATTCTTCATCAGTTCTCCCCATACCTGGAAGTATCTCATAATTCCAAAAATATGTGCCCAGCACTGCCAGATATAGTGGAATTACTTCTTGCAATAGTATAATATCTGGCTGGTATCTGTTGAAGGAAAAAAAACAAACAAACTAGAAATGACACCACAATGTCCATTAACTATGAGGAGAGATACTTGTGCATCAAGCTTCTCCCATTTCTTTCATTCCATACTTTACATGACCACACATTTGATGCATCTCTTACTTGTTAATGCTGCGGAGCAGCCCACCACAACGCCTTTCTGCACCTTCATCAAGCCCATCAAGGCTCCAGGAAAGAACAGTCAGCTTGTCTTTGTCCTCCACATGTTCCTTGAAAAGATTACCTATGGAAATTGCCATTCTGGCTGCTTTACTGGGTTGCTTGCTTGGCTTGTCATGGTTGGACATGCTGCGAGGTTCCTCTTCATTTTTCTTCATCTCATCGCCTTCCTTCTTTTCCTCCTCTTTTACATTGGCCTCTGGTGGTCTTTTGCTAAATAAATAGTATTTGTAAATTAGTACATAAAACTGTCCTTTGCCAATCTACTTCCATCATTTAATATAATCAGCATTACATATGTCGCCGCCTACCAGGTACTCTCATGCGGCGTGTCTTGCGGCTTAACAGTGAAGTCACACAGGACTCCCCAGTGGTCACTGGCGAATAACCCACAATTAAGTCTCTCCTGCCCAATCAGTGCCATGTTCTTGGGGACTACTGCAGCGCCATCTGTGGATGCTCGCGTGAAAATGCGGTCCAAGCGCATGCGTATTGTTTTAGGAATGTCCTTGTTGTCGTTGGTTTCCATATCCCACGTATACCTGCAGTCTTCCGGCTTGCCCAGTGCCTCCCAAACGTCGGAAATGCCCTCAGGCGGCCCCCCCAGCTTGTTCACCTGGGTGGAGACACCACTGATTACTAAGGTATTCATGGAAAAAACAATTCCTTCTGCTGATGTAGCAGTAAGGATTCCCTCACACCATGCACACAATCACTGTGATCCAGATAAAAGGTCTGACCTCCCAGTCTCTCAAGTTGGTGTCCCCTCCAAAAATAACTGCGACGTTGTCCGGTGCTTCTCTGATTTGTGTCCACACCTTTCCGATCTGGTCTAGCCGCTCCTGAGAGTTCTCCTTGCCGTATATTAGGTGGGAGGTCATCACATACAACTCACGCCCACAGAACTTCACCTTTGAGAACACAGACATCCATGCATTCAAATAAAATATAAATATGGAAGATTCAAGGTTTTGTGAAGTTTCCAGTAGCTACAGCCTGCATTTTTAAGTACTTTGATATCTTCTGGATCTTTCATTATTTCTTGAGTCTCATGAAATCTTTACTCTTCCAGCTTAAACATTAAAATTTGAAGTATAGCATCAGCAAAACAAAGTAAAAGCTAAATACAGACTAATATAATTGACAGCCAATTAACACTGATTGATTGACTGATTGATTGACTTGTATCCAAAGAGGTGAGCCCTTAGGACTTGGCATGGGCTAGTATTAGTTAGTATTAGTTAGTATTAGCCAGAAAACACTAACTCAAAATCCAGTATCTCTATTACAGGTAACAAAACTTACATGAGCCATAAGTAGGTCCCGTTGCATCGTTTTGGAAGGAAGCTTAACTGTCTTATAACTTAATAACTGAACTCGAGACTTTCTTAGCATGATGCATGTGAAGTAACTGGAAAAATGTCCTGGAAAACAATAAACTGATCAACAAGCAAATTTCTGATTCAACGTCAACTGAAATTTGCTTAGAAACCTTCAGAAGAATACACTTTTCATATAATCATACAGAATTATAAATGCAATACACAATGGTCAGTTGTGATTTACATCAACAGAGTTGGGGCAGCGTGTGGCTCAGTGGGCTAAGCCGTGTGACTGTAATCACAAGGTCACCGGTTCAAACCCAGCCTCAGCACATCTGCAGGTCCTTAAGCAAGACCCTCAATCATAAAACATAAAAACAATTTCCCCACAGGGATTAATTATTATTATTATTATTATTAGGGGAGGTGGGGCAAAAATACTAATAACCTCTCAATTATAAAGTGTTTGTTATTCCATTGCACCGACTTCTACAATGACTACAATGTCATTCATTTTCATTTATAATTATTAAAGTAATTGATTGTTTTGCATACTTGTAAGAATATGATAATTCTTAAAATGTATCATTAAGAATCTCAGATATGGTGTTTTGAATTCTTGCAGCAGTATGATCTCAGGGCGATATCTGTAGAAAGAAAAAGAGACATGCTGCAATCATTCTGTTTAGGTGACTTAAGACACATTGAAAAAAATAGATACGGATGAAGACTATGAATAAGGTCATGACAGCTGCAGAGACGGAGCACAGCTGGAGAGACGGCAAACAGGATGGGAAGGATTGGCAGCCCAAACCACATCTTCTGAAAGGAAGAACATGGGACACCAGAGTGGCCAGTGAAGGGAATGTAGTGAAGACTGTAAGAAAGTGGATGGAGCGGCCCAGCAGAAAGAGGGTGGGCCAGATTACCAGGGCACCAGGCGTATGTTGCAAACATTGTAGATCTTACTTTTTAATGTTGGAGAACAGCCCACCAAGACGCTTCAGCTCTTGGTCATGTCCATCAAGGTTCCACGTGAGCACAGTTAGCTTGTCCTTCTCCTCCAGCTCACATTGGACAGGGTGTCCTAGGAAGCATTCAGTCTGTTGTCCTGGGTCCTGGGGAGTTTCTGCCCCTGAATCCAGGCTCTGGGATGATTCCCCTTGCAGGGACAGACCCTGGGGATATCAGAGAGTTTTTTGTTGTGTTTCACCTTAGGCCGGCATGGCCTCTCGCCCTGGATGTCCATCTTTCTCTACCATATTCCTCGTTTCACTCACCTTCTTTACGTTGTCTCCGTCGAGGACCTGACCGCTCATGGTCTCTGAATGACTTTCACCTCCATTGATCCCCATTTGTTCCCTTCTTTTATTCCTTCTTCTTTTACTGAAATAATAACCAGGTCGACTAATATATAATACAAACCAATCTCCCTGACTGAACAAGTACACAGAACAGGGAAAGTAACTCCAGTTCCCAGGCTTAGCACTAATATGATCTAAATACAACTCCAGTGAACTCATAACGGGCCAGTTCAGCACAAAACCGAAAAAGATATCTTTTAGAGGGACTATCTGTCCATCTAATTTGATCTGCTGGAAGTTGCCTTGTTTTGGAGATATCGACCATAGAAATGTCAGGCTTCTCTTGAATATAATGGGAGTGAATGGCATTCTTTCTGTGGTGTTTAAAATGGCAAAAACATATATTTAAAAAATTCAACAGCAGTGTCTCTTACCAGAAATCACGACATGGTTATTTAAGATGATCCACAGACTTTGTAGTGAGCAGTTTCATGTAGAAACTATTTTCTTCTACCAAACTACACACATCAATCGTAACACTGTGCAGAAGATATCGCCGGGGTCCTCGTTTATCCTGCACCGTGACACAATTGGTGTGCGGAGTTTGAACACTGACGTTTCTATGGCCGAAATCTCCAAAACTAGGCAACTTCCAGCAGATCAAATTAGATGGACAGATAGCACTAAAGCCCCTCTAAAATATTCCGTTTTTCAGTTTTGGGGTGAACTGCCCCTTTAAGAATGAGTAGGAGTTGAAGGCCTTGTCCATAGGAGCGGCTTCCCCCAATAATACATCTGTAATATCATGGTGACATAACTTCCTAACAAGGCATTTAATAACAGTGTTAATGTAAGTAAAATTCAGCCCTTCAAGCACCTCCTAATCATACAGGATTTATTAAGGTATTAATAACGTTCTAATTTTCCATATTTCCATAGGCTTGGATTATTAAACAGTCCATTCAATGCTCTTCAGTCCACTTACAGAGCTGAACATGCCAAGTAAATGTCAGAGAAGGTGCCACAGATCTCCCTTGGGAATCCATCCCAGGGCATGGAAACCCTGCCAGACCAGCTCATACTGGACACCTACTGGGGACCTCTGGCTGGAATGTGAAGGGCCCATGAGTAAACAACTGGCTCATATTTTGATGCACCTGATGTCTCAAATGGCTCTAAAATGTCTCAGTGTACCAAGCAAGAAATACAACTCGGTGTATGAGGAGCAGGAAAGAATGCTACCAAGCTTACAAACCTCTTATTCTCAGCATTTTTTGTATTCTCAAAGCAATCCAGCTACAGAAACTCAACAAAATCTATGCCAATCCCCAAACTCACTATAGCATCCACTAAAGTAGTGCATCACCCAAGGTGATCTGGTATCCTAAGTACAACCCATCTCCATAATCCCACGTGTGAGTACCACTCAGTCGCACCCCCAGGGTCGTGACGAAAGGGCATTGTCTACGCTTCTGTTTAGTGTACAAAGCCGTCAATTTCCTTCATTCAAATTTTCCTTGAGGAAAACCTATTTATCACAAGTAAAAACTCCAGTATTCCAACATATAGGTCCTAATCCATCATCTTTTGTAAGGAAATCCTGTTTTAAGCAGATTAACTTTAATATATGAAATAGATACAGTTTTATAATATCTTTAATGAAATATACAGCTGGTTGAAGGTTCAGGTTATCAGTTTTGACCGAATATCTTACATATGTATTGCTGTAAGCCACAAGTTAGTGTTGTATTACTTGCTCAGTATTTGCTTATTGTATTACTTATTTGCTTACCAGGAACTCTTATTTGTAGGTACTTCTGGTCCGACGGTGAAGGCACACAGGATTCCCCAGTGGTCACTGGTGAAGTACCCACAGCTGAGCCTCTCCTGGCCGATCAGCTCCATGCTCTCAGGGGTTACTGCTGGCCCATCTCTGGCCGCCTGCAGGAAAACGCGGTCGAAGCGTAGCCGTACCGAATGGGGAATGTCCTTGTTGTCGTTGGTTTCCGTATCCCACGTATACCTGCAGTCCTCCGGCTCGCCCAGTGCCTCCCAAACGTCGCAAATGCCCTCAGGCAGCCCCCCCAGCCTGCTCACCTTTCCACGAGATGCACAAAGAAAAACAAACAAGGTTCATTAAATAAGCATGAGACTATTCAGGCAACAAAATGCTTAGCCGGAGATTCATTATAATCAGTTATGCCTCAAGCCGATATCAAAGATCGGAATCAGGGCCAATCTAGGCATTTTTAACCGATAAGTTTTGGTTACCAAAGCCAGATCCAAAGCCAAATCTATTTAAATTCACGCAGCCGCTGAATTTATGTTGGTTGTGCAGACTATGGGGCTCCATCACACGCTGCAGTGGGCCTGAGGCTCATGGCCTGAAACTACAGACTATCAAGAAGTCAGCTGTGCGGAAATGAGTTAAATCTGAAACTCAGAATAGCCCGCTAGCTACCTGCAATGATTGGGATGCCATCCTTTGGAGAGGAGGCAGCAACAGAGCATCGTTTAGTGCAACGAATGCAATTAGGCACTTCAAGAAAACTGCGAAATCGCAAGGTTCACTCAGACAAGGAATGTGTCGACGTCTACTGCATGTGTATGTATATTTAAACATTTATGAAAAGATTAGATCAGTACTCAGAATTGGCAGATAAAAATATTAAATGAATCGGACTGCATCAGGGTATCAAAAAAGTGGATCGGGCCATCCCTAATTAGGGCTACAGTGGATCTTTAACCTAGCAACATGAAGAAAAATAAAGTTGTCTGGGTGCACAAGTATTCCAGAGTAACAGGGAGAAGGTCAGACCTCCTTGTCTCTCAGGTTGGTGTCCCCTCCGAATATGACGGAGACGTTCTTCGGTACCTCCCTCATCCGCGTCCACACCTTCGTCAGCTGGACCTGCCGCTCCTGGTAGCTTGTTTTGCAGCTCTCCAGGTGGGAGGTCATCACACACAGCTCGCGGCCAAAGAAGCTCACCTTGCCGACAGGGAGACGGCGATGTCACTGCTCTTATAATGTTATTGTAATAATATCAATATTTTGAGGATTTGTTTTACAAATATCAGATATTATTTTAGCAGACTTGAGTACCAAACAAGGGTACTCCTTTAGTGTGGGGTCCACCAGTTATCGCACTGCACCACTGGGTGGCGCTTAAGTAAATATGCTCCAGTGATGCAGGCATTTTATTGTTACATTTAAAATTGCTTTACTCTTTAGCTTTCAAACAAACAAGGCAGACACTGAGAATAAAGCCAAAGGAGACTGAAGTTTCATGGTTACTATGCGGGCTGAGCTGCTAGGGCACACGGTGAAGTTACACCGAAAAAAGCTACGCGGCTTACAACTGTAACTTCAGCATTTTTCCCTTGAGGTGAATATTGAAAGATGGCCACTCAGAAAATGGATGTCGGCCACAGATCTTTACAGGTTCCCTAGTAAAGTTGTCAGGATACATACATAAGCCAGAAGTAGGTTTCTGCCCATCGATGTTGTGCGGAACTTAACAATGTTGCTGTGGAGCAGCTGTACTCTGGACTTTCTCAGCATGATCCCACTGAAGTAATCTTCATCACTTCCTGAAAACAATGGACAGTATTCAACTGACAGATCCATCCAGTTTATCCTAGTCAGGGCTGCAGGGGGGGCTGAAGCCTGTTCCAGGCAGTGCGGGTACCACGGGTGGTGCATCCTCTGGGTGGGGCTGCAGTCCCTCATATTCTCCTGAGCCCCCACCCATTCATTTATGTCCATTGTAGTGAACATTTTGTTTTTGCATCTATCTTTTCACTGATGTAAGGAAACGTATTTATTCCTGTTGTACACTAAAGAGGACATGCTGTCAAATTAAAAATAAAAATAAATTAGAAAAAATCTAAATTGTAAGATGTCTTATTTCCTCCAAAGACAAATATCCTAAAATTGAAGGACACTTTTTTCCTTGGGTCTCAGGAGGATATACATACAGACCGTCATACACTATGAGGGATTCAGAGACATCAGCTACCTTAACTGCATGACTTTGGGCTGCACAAGGACACTGGAGTACCACTGGAGTACCACTGGAGTACCACTGGAGTACCCAAAACAAACTCATACAACACTTGGAAAATGTGCAAACCAGGATTTCAGTCCCCACCCCAGGAGGTGAGAGGAAATGGGGCTGATTTTGAGTCACGATCCCACCCTATAATTAACAAGTCAAGTAGGTCAAACACATAATACTGATGAAAAGTTTCAAAAATTGATCAATACTAAAGTTATGAACAGGAATAGATTAGAATTGTCCTTATTAATCTTGCATGTCAAATAATTAAACTTTAAAACAACCAACTGTCCAACAAACAAATGGCTCAGAAATATTAGTGTACCAATAGATTATACTAATGAAAATTCCCATACCTTGAAGAAAGGTGTAATTTACAAAATGCTTCTTCAAGCAGTGCAAATATTCTGGTACAAGTTCCTGCAACAGTAAGACATCTGGCCGATATCTGTTAATGGAAAAAAAAACCTTGAAGATTTTTTATGCTAATTTTTCAGATAGCCTGCTCTGCATTACACATTACAGAAATATATTAGAAGTTAAAAGGCCGCATTTCAGCTGCATATCTGTAAGTTTATGATAATGGGGAATCACTGACCATATTTCGACACCGTAATATAGCTATAAAAAGTATTAAGAGGTGTTCGATGTCACATGCAAAAGGTCTTTAGCTACTAGCCTACTAGGAAACATTACTGCAGTTAAAAGTGGAACAGCCCCACAAACGTTATTGTTGTCAAAACTTATCTTAAATGATTGATTGTTCTAGATGTCAGCGTTTCTTTAAACTATATTATCCTCCTCCCATATTTTTATAACATTTCTCTGCCTTGTCTTGCACCATTACGTAAGTCACACGTATGGTATGTGTTGTATATATTTGTACTTTTTACTTTTTAATATTGGAGAACAGCCCCCCGGCACGCCTCAGGAGGTCTTCGCTGTCCAGCCCGTCGAGGTTCCAGGTGAGTACGCTTAGTCTGTCCCTGTCCTCCAGCTCATACTGGACAGGCTGACCTAGGAAATGCTCCACCTTTGGGTGCTGGTCATGGGGACCGTCACCTTCTGGATCTTGGCACTTCAGAGACACTCCCTGTGAGGTCAAACTTTGGAAATACTGATGTTGGACAGATTTATTTATGCTTGCACTTTCTTGCTCTGAATGCTCATCTTTCTCTCTCATCTTCATCACCTCCCCTGCACTCTTCTCTTCCTTCGTTGTCATGTCCGTACAGAGACTCTTGGACTGGGTCTCCACCACCTGCATTTCTGTAGTCAAGCCTTCATCTCTGTCACCTCCCGTCGGCGACCTGCTGCTTAAGTGACTCTGGCCCCTTAAAAAGAAAAAATCAAGACCTCCAGCGATAAAAGACACAGAACATATTCTGGAGGCAAGTCCACAGATAGGAACGCTATATCTTATTTTACTTGAAGACATTTTATCTCTGACATTTACTTCTTAAACCTGAACTCTGGAAAACAACTGACATATTGTATTGTTTATCTAATTAATTAACAACCAGGCTTATGTACATCCATACAACTGTGTAATGTCTTACAGGTTACACATACCTGTACTCACACGTCTGAAAATCGATGAGCACAACATCACAGTCATGGGATGTAACCCTACAAAGGTCCAGCTGTCTGACTGCCACTGATGTGCTCATTAAAATATCTGAGACATACACGGGGGCAGATACCTGTATGCACTGTGTACCTTTGGTGTTTAGACTTGGATAATTGACTAGATTTCTGAAGGGGGCGGGAGTGGTCAGTGAGCTGACCTAATTGGTTGGTTGATATATTTCTGGAATCATGCAGTTGTTGAACTGCATTTTTCAGCGTATGCAGAGTAGAGTGTCAAACATAAAATTACTTATGTGGCTAGTTCTTTTACCTCCAGGAGATTAAAATAAGTAAATGCTCTCACAAACAATTAAAGTCATTAGAAACGTTTGCAAAAAAAAAAACACACAAGTAGTGTGACGGAAAATATGGACAGCAACTCTAATCACGGCAAGTCCCACTAATGTCAACATATTCCGTTTACCAGAATACAGGAGTAGTGAGATTTCTCAAGCATTATTTAGCACAAAAGACACTTTACACTGTGTATCGAAAAAAAGCATAAAAGCATATTTACGAACAGGATCACAACCAGCCTACTCACTGTGCTTGTTCTGATGAATACCCGATCACCACGACTTCGAAACTGACAGCGAGAGTCTCATGAGAATTTGATGCGACCCGGAGTTTGAAATTCAACTTCAGATAGGTAGACAAGACCGTAATATGTTACTAGGTGGGTGGGTGTGTGTTTGGGTGCGATCCCTGAGAATAAATCCTGCAGCCGCCCCCGAATACATAACATACCTTTTTCCTGAGGCCGGGCTAATCTCCATTTCAACAATCTAGTGCAGCAGAAAACAAATAAAGCCAGGCTGTAAAACCGGATTTCAATATAGACGAGACACGCACGAAAGAATTCCTGGTAACTCCTTCCTTCCTACACTCCTACGTGTGTAAATTGTCAGATGATCATGTGGTCACATCAGACATTTCACAAGGTTTATAAACCGGCTTTGACGTCATGAATTCACCAAACTTTGTTCCATAGAGAGGTTAAATTTAACATCCACGCTGATATGACAGCAAGTTAATCGCTGGACTTTGAACCTCTGTGTACTTTAATTAATAGACTGGTCCTGCATGTATTAGTTGACTCTGCTCGAATAGAGCTTTCAGTTTCGTTTATGCTCGCTAATGCCAAGATCGGGGAAAATCTGCAGTGTCATTAAGGATGTGCTTTGCTGTCCTTGCTACACAAAAACTGAAAAAAAACCTTTCAGCATATATATGCATATATAAAAGCTGAAATGTTTTTTTCCCTTATGCAGTGCCTGTCCTACGCAGCAGTCTTGTATTATGAGTATAAAAATGGGTAGGAGACAATCACATTTTAGTACGACACTCGGTTTATATGAAGGTCGGTAATAAAAGGCTGGGGACCCGTTTTCCGACACCGATCGCTGTTTTCCTTCGGACTTGGCAGCAGCGCAAAGAGCGCAGCTACGCGGCAGACAGATCCCCTTCCGGAGCGGCGCTGAGCGCATCCCGCTGCTCTGCCCGCAGATGCAGCGACGCCTGCGCCTGTCATCCGCGCCGGACCCAGGACGATGTCCCTGCGCGGAATCGTGCACAAAATACGGCTTACCCTGAGTATTAATGAAGGGAGTATCTGAGACAAAGAATGTCTTAAACCCTGACGGGAAATGCTGTCTCGGCTAAGGTAGGTATAGTACGTTACATTTATTCGCTTTCTGTAAGCAATTTGTCAGTACGCCTTAAAAAGTCATTTTTAGTTGTTTCGATAAATATATAGAAAAATACAGTTAAATCAAATCTCCCCGCCGAACAGTATATTGATGTTTTTCTGAAGGTAGTATGTAAAGGTGTTATTATTGTCGCCGTTCGAGGATGCAGTGCTGAAGAGCTGCATAGTCCCTGGACATAATCTGCACACTATTGTATAATACAGTTTCTGTTCAGATTGAATGTTAACTCAAATGTATATTTGCAGCACACACATCTGTTAAGAATTCTTATGAAGAAGGACAGAAAGATGAAATGACCAAAAAGCCCGGTTCAAACAAATTTGATGTTTCCTGCGAGTACCGTTGTTTGTTTTTCCTTTGCATATTTTATTACAACCCCACTGACTAACCGGTATATTTGATTTTCATAAGCGCATGTGACTCTGATAATTTTCTTGTAATCGCCTTTAACGAAATACGTGGTTGCCTAGAAATAACCGTGTTCGCTTATCGACGGACAGGCACCATATGGTATTAAATTAACCAGTGACACTGAATTATTTCAGGATGTTAAACAGGCCGAAAGCTCTGAAATTCGTAATCCTCACTGGATTATGTAGAAACACTAGCCCAGTAAGTTATAGTGCTGGAGTGTTTTGAGCCTGTAGGCTTCGCCCAGCTTAGGGCTGTTCCTTCGCTTACGCCTGATGTTTTAACCCCCTGGTTACCGGCATTTACGCGGCGGCTTCTGGCTGCAGGTTTAGCTTCTGGTGGATCTTTGAATCTAGCGGACTCACAGAATTACTGCCCGGCTGTTCTTTAATTTTCGCCACACCCCCTCAGGTGACTCCACACCAAGACCTTTCTCAGGAGCCTTGAAATGTTCATACTGTCTTGACAGTAAGTCTCTGTCAGTAAGTTCATACTGTCTCTGACAGTAAGTGTGCCGTGCTCCTTTTGCTCTTAGACGTTTAAATGCCTGCCACATTGGTCAGCCTGTGATGACAACCAACCTCTTAGGGAGTTTCCAGCTAGGCTCAGCATAATCGATCATTTTCTGATTGTTTCCTTGCCTAGGGTGGATTTCCAACTGTTCTGTGTGCATCTTACTGATTGGCTTTGTAGATTTTTTTTCCCCAGGCCCAGGGGTAACTGTACCTGTAAATGACATTAATATCCGCACAGCCACCCCTTTCCAGCAGGGGGCAAACATAAAATCCAGACTTGATTCACTTTTAAAACATCCAAGTGACTCAACTCTCCTTGCTCGCAGTCAGGAGTGTGGCTACAGTCTTACTCACTTCTCCGTTTCAAGCTCAAGGACTTTGGAGGAGTGCTCTAGCGTGTCCTACCGCGGACGCCCACGCCCGTCCCGCAAGCATCGCCCCGTCGTCATGAGGGTGGCCGTCCTGCTTCTCTGCCTGGCTCTGCAGTGTACAGAGGGTGGGTCTGCGACCTGGCGTTTTCTTTGGGGGGTGATAACACCCAGGGGGGTTGAAAGCTTCCATGCTCTGCATTCCTAAATGCCAGTGCTGGGGTTTGTGAAGATGACAGATTGGACGAACGTAGTGCTTTATTGATGTTATTAATTACCCGATTAATTAGAATGAATGCAGTTACCACTCTGCTCAGCCAAACACAGCTAATGAAGCATTTGACAGTCTCTAGAAGATAATGTGGTAAATTAAGAAACATGGCAGGTTATTACATAATTAATGTTTTGGATTTGCTTTGAACTTCACTTAAATGACGACATAGGATCACATTCGATTTGTACAGCTGACAGAGATGCCTGTGGTTGTTTCCAGTACAGCTGTGAGCACCAAGCTTGTAAAAAAAGCATCTTCCTTGTTGTATATTGAGTCAGATGGCTAGAGTCACGTGACATGCTGCGGATTTTGGAATAATACTTTAATTTTGTATTTTATTTTGACAAGAAATACTAGTGAGGTCACTTAGGTCGGGTAATGGTCTAAAAGGGAAATACTTTTTGTCGATTACCAGGGTGGAAGATATATTTAGCATGTAGTTACTTACTCAGGTACTTAGTTTTTACTCATGTAAACAGGGTATTACTACAGCATCTAAAGGCCACAATAACAGGACCTACCTGGAGCATGAACAAGCAGTCGGGTGTAAGCGAGTTTGTGGGATTTCCTTACTGCACCGTATCACGGTCACCTGCTGTTTGTAGGTGCAGTAGCAGAGCAGTGCTGGCAGGGGGCGACGTACTCGGAAAGCATCGTCTCGCCCAACCTGAAGAGCGGCAACATCCTGCGGGTGCCAGAGGCGCCGTCGGTAGGCCAGTGCGCCAAGGCCTGCTGTGAACTGCCAGGCTGCGACCTGGCGTGGCTCTTCGAGCGCCACTGCTACGTGCTGAGCTGCCAGCGGCAAGAGGGCTGCCAGCCTCGTCCAAGACCCGGCTCCGACTCCTACATCACCTTCGTGCGTCGAGGCCCTGCATCGCCACTTGTGCTGCAGTCCCTCGTCCGTGGGCAGCCTTACCCGGGTCGCTGGAGACCCCTGTCACGACCCAAAGGGCCCGCTGCCGTCCTCAGGGACCTGGCCCTCTTCGATGGGACGCGAGACTTGAGTGACCTCGATCCCACGTGGACGGACGTGGAGTACTCTGACAGGAGTTTGGAAGATGGCGGCCGATTCGGCATCGCGGTGAAGAGCGGACCTGAGGCAGCACGGACGGAACAGAAGGAGAGCTCTGGCTACCTGGACTGGCTGCCTCTTCTAAACATGACGGATATGGGGGGCGGCTCGGTGGAGAGGGAATCTGTGCAGGACGCTGCCCAGGACGGCCCATCTCTTCTCAGCTCCCCCCCTACAAACGGGATACCCGCCACTGAACCAGCCCCTACCTCTGACCCTGCAGTGTCCCCAGCCACACAGAACCTCACTGTAAGTATCCCCTCTTCAAAGAACAGAAAACGGTGAATCAGCACTTCCGGAGGGGCAGGGGGGGGGGGGGTGATATCTTTGATGACCACACTTCCAAAACGCCTTCTTTTGACTGGACCCTTAGCCTTATGTACCCTGAAGCCACACAGTCAATTTTTAAGCCGGCCGCTTATTCACCGTTTACTGTTGTCTTGTGTCCGTGCGACACAGTAGGTTGCGTGACACGGTTTTACTCCTCCTTTCCTCGGAGGACAGAAGCTTCCCTCTGCTCAGGGATCACGAAGCATCACGATCCCTGTGGACGGTGTCGCTCCGCCGGGCCATATGGCAGCATGCTGACTCAGCATTCCACAGAAACACCCCCCTCCACACTCCCCCCTCCCCCCTCCCCTGCACTGTTGCCTTTGAGGAAATGAAATGATCAGCGTGTCCAGTCTCCTACTGCAGCGGGACGTCGTGATGCATTTGGGGAATTGGCATTGACATGTTGTGAAATGAGTGCCCTGCCTTGTGCCCCCGTACGGCCCTGCGCAGGATAAGCGCTTAGAAGATGGGTCGATGAAATTCATCTGCGGCTTTAGGTGACAGGATTTTAGAGTGATGACCTGATCGGTGACACACAGGGAGGACACTGATGACTCTGCGTTTGTCACCCAATCAGAGCGAGGAGCTGATCGGTGTCACACAGGGAGGACACTGATGACTCTGCGTTTGTCACCCAATCAGAGCGAGGAGCTGCCTGCCAACGCCTCGTCCGTGCAGATGCAGCCCACGATGTTTCCCCAAGATGGTCCCACTGACCCTCCCCCTCAGCGCCAAATTACCACTTGCCTTCCCACTGGGAGTTTGCCCCCTGTCCTGAATCGGACCATTCCCACCGGCGCCCCACAGAAAGGTACGGTGAACAGCAAAAAGGGGGGAAGCAGTGTTCTGGGTGCCACATGGCGTGACGTTTTAATGTCTGCCTCCGAACAGTGGGAACCCTGCTGGTTTCGGCAGGAGACCCTGTGGAGGTGACGCTACCCATGAGCACTGTGGAACTGGGAGCCATTGTGGTTCCTGAGCCCCAGACAGGTAAGTAGGGAAGAGATTATGCTGATTAATACACGTCTCTTGCATTAGTTAATTGTGATTTTTTTTTTCTTTGTCATCAGAAAGCACATACTCTTATGACTGGAGTTTACGCAGTTATCCTAATGGCCACCAGGGGGAGATGGAGGGCATGCACAGCAAGACAGTGAAGCTCTCAGGGGTAAAATGCGTTTCGATTTATAGTCTATCTCTGCTGGCACAATAATGTGCGTTTTGCTCACTGCAGACACGCCCGTTTTGTTTGTGTCAGCTTTCCGAAGGTGTGTACGTCGTCAGAGTGGCCGTCACGGGGGACCACGGGGCCGGAGACGCCCTCGTGAATGTCACCGTGAAAGCTGGTGGGTGCCACCTGTCGGGGCTGCATATTCACACTAAGATCCACACAAGCTGAAACGTCTCTGTCGCTCCATCAGCTGCCCGTGTGAACCAGCCCCCGAGAGCCGTGGTCATCCCCCCCGCCCAGGACGTCCTGCTCCCTGCCCCCTTGGTCTCCATCGATGGCAGACGTAAGCTCCCCCCCCCCAGTCGTCTTCCCCCAGGCTTATAAACATCAAGGACATTGTCTGCCTCTGCTTTTTTGGCACAAGCAGTGGGGGGGGGGGGGTCCAGGAGAGTCATACAGTCAGGAGACACTTAAGAGAACTTATGCACAAATATTCTGAGGGCAGAATTAAAAATGATTGGTTCAGAGAGGACCAATCAGATTATAGAGGAGGCTAGTCCAAGCAATTAAAGGAGGCAGGATCAACCAATCAGATGTCTCGGTCCCACCTCCTCTACTGGCTTGGACCCACAGTCTGATTGGTTATCTCTCTGACTCAGTCATTTTTCATCCTGCCCTCAGAGCAGAAGCAACATTTTCCTGTAAGAATACTTCCCTTATAAATCTGAGATGAATCTCCCGCTAATGAGAGAGGGTGATATTTCTGAGCACGTCTCTCTCCTTGGCTCCAGGGAGCACAGACGATGTTGGCGTGGTGACCTACCGCTGGGAGGAGGTGAAAGGGCCACCACGCAGAAGCAAGGCCTTCGCTGACACCCCCCTGCTCCACCTCTCGGACCTGGAGCCTGGAGACTACACCTTCAGGTGCCATGGCTTAGACCTTAATTATCCCCATTACTGGGTCTCTGCGTCAAACAGCTGCTTAATGTCCCCGTTTCCCCGGTAACCCTGAGCACAGGCTGCTTACAGCTGCTGCAGTTAATGTTTATCATGTACTAATGGTGCCGCTGCCCATATCCCTTAAACTGTGTAAATCGATAAGCCAAGTTACTGTGTTAGTTGCATAACAGAGAACATTATTACTCATCATTTCTGACGCTGTATGAAGGGCAATGGAGGCGACCCTAAAGGCAGCCTTTCTCTCAGCTTGACAGTGATGGACTCTGATGGGCTGAGTGACTCCACCATGGCCACCGTCAGAGTCACCACGGCCCCCGATCTGCCCCCGGCGGCCGACGCGGGCCCCAATGTGACGGTCACGCTCCCGCTGGACCGTGTCACCCTGTGTGGGAACCGGAGCAGCGACGACCACGAGATCGTCGGCTACCTGTGGAGCCTGAGCCCGGGGAGCTGGGCCGAGAGGCCGACCATGCGGGTGGGTGGGCTGTGAAGGCTGTCTCGAGGGCTTCGCTGTCGTACCTTTGAAGGCTGTCCCGGGGGCTTCGCTGTCGTACCTTTGAAGGCCGTCCCGGGGGCTTCGCTGTCGTACCTTTGAAGGCCGTCCCGAGGGCTGCGCTGTCGTACCTTTGAAG